TCCGAAGCAAGTCCATTAGTGTGCTTCCTAAGATGTATCGTCCATGCAAGTTTGCACATTATAAGGCTCATAGTTAATTGGAAATGAAACATACATCAAAAACTAACATTTTCACTCATCCACAATATGTAGGTCAGATTCAGCATCCGAAGCAAGCCTGGTAGTATGCATCCTAAGATGTATCATCCATGCAAGATTGGTGATTAAAGAACTCATAGTTACTTGGAAATGAAACCTGCACCAAAAACTTTTACTTTTTCACTGACCGGAAAATGTGTAGGTAGATTCAGCATCCGAAGCAAGCCGGTAGTGTGCATCCTTTAGATTTATCATCCATGCAAGTTTGGTCAACATAGGGCTTAAAGTTACTTGCAAATGAAACCTGCTGAAACACTTTTAACCTGTTCACTCAACTGGAAAATGTTCAGTAGAGATTCAGCATCCGAAGCAAGCCCAGTAGTATCCATACCTACAATGTATCATCCATGCAAGTTTGGTCAACATAGGGCTTATAGTTACTTGGAAATAGAACCTAGCCAAAACTTTTAACCTGTTCACTCAACCGGAAAATGTAAGTCAGATTCAGCATCCGAAGCAAGCCTGGTTGTATCCATCCTTAGATGTATCGTCGTAGATTTCAGTGAGAACATAGGACTTACAGATACTTGGAAATGAAACCTGCACCAAAAACTTTAACCTGTTCACTCAACCGGAAAATGTAGGTCAGATTCAGCATCCGAAGCAAGCCTGGTTGTATCCATCCTTAGATGTATCATCCATGCAAGTTTGGTCAACATAGGACTTACAGATACTTGGAAATGAAACCTGCACCAAAAAACTTTAACCTGTTCACTCAACGGAAAAAGTAGGTCATTCAGCATCCGAAGCAAGCCCGGTAGTATGCATCCTTAGATGTATTGTCCATGCAAGTTTGGTTAACATAGGGCTTATAGTTACTAGGAAATGAAACCTACACCAAAAACTGCACCAAAAATGTTAACCTGCTCCAAAAACATTAACCTGGTCATTCCTTTGCTAAAATTGCAGCATCTGAAACTTTGACTGGTACAATGAAACACACTAGAACCATCTTCCATGCATGTCTAATCAATATAGGACATAGAAGTACTTAAAAAGAAAACTGCTCCAAAAAACTTAACCTTAACCTGCGACGCCGATGCCGACGCCGACACCGACGCCGACGCCGACGCCGACACCGAGGGTATTACATAAGCTCCCCCAACTTCGTTGAGGTGAGCTAAAAATCAATAAATATTTTTAAAAATGTTATAGGACAGGAGTCTGAAGTTCTTATCGTCAAAAAAAAAAAAATCCGGAAAGAAATTTTCCTACCTTCAACTAAAATACACCATGATGGCAATATGTTTTGGGGGGACACACTTAAACTAATAGATCTGGGCTTCAGCCTAAAAAATCTCGCAACAAATTCAATTTCGGAGCGTTTTACTATTTATTCAAGTTAAGAAATCCAATCTGCTTGAAGACTACAGGCCGTTTCTGGCCCTTTTTCCACTTTAACAGCTCATCCTGGACTCCATGCCACTAAACTGGAAGTAAATCTCGCAGTGTATATTTGACGTCTATGAACATGATCATGATGATGAAAGCTTGTTCAAATGAAATAAAATAAATAATTATTCAACATATTTTGATTCAGTTACTTTAAACATATATAAGAAAACTTTAAAAGTTATCAATTCTTTTTCTTACTTGTAAGACGATATGTACCAGGGACAGATAATTCTATTTTTACACGGTGCCAAATTTAAATCATTGAAAAGCCAAGTCAGCAAAGAGCCAAACAGCTTGTCTTACCGACCTGATGAGGCATTATTTTGTTTTAAAAATATTTTTTTTTTTTAATTGATCACATATGGAAACATGATATTGTACATGAAGATTTACATACAATTTTTTTCTTTTCTTCAATTACATAAAATATTCACTGCGGTGTTCACTTCCAGTTTAGTGGCATGGAGTCCACTCCATACTCCACTAATCAACCTCTTTCAAATGACACCAAGGTCAATGACTTTGTGACCTTGACTGTGACCTTAATGCTAAAAATAGCTTTTTCCAAACTTTGTTGCCGCCGGGCGCATAGTGTTTCAAAAACACATCTTGTTTTTTTTATGGTCTACTTACCCTCTATACTAGTACTGTGTGTACATCGTCCTCCACATTCAGCTAAGTACAGGATCTTGGCTAGAAGTTGACAAAAATTCAGGATACCTGTAATTTAAAGAAATATCAGTAAGAATGTGCTGCAAATCACATATTCCATATAATATCAAATATGACACTATACCGGGGCAAAAAAAAATATACATGACTGTACTCATGTTTCCTGTCACCTGACCTATCCTCCATTTTACTCTCCGAACCTCATAGTTTTTTTTTCACGTTTTCATTTTTTTTTTTTGCTATTTTCCCGAAATGTTTAAATCGGCCAACAATATTAAATGTTTTTTACAGATGAGTTTCAGAAGCGTTTTAATACAAAACTTGGGCAGACCTGTCAAAAAAATTATTGAACATACCAATGAGAAGTATGAAAGCCCTAACACCAACTGTACAAAAGTTATAAGTTATAACTAAGGTTGAAGAGTGATATATTTTTGTAAAAGTGGTCAAACTTCAAGGTCAAGAGGTCAAATTTGGTGGTACCCAAAGAATTTAAGATCTTGTCACGAGAAATACACCGGTGAAATATGAAAGCCATAGCCCCACTCACTCCAAAGTTATGAGCAAGGTTAAAGTTTTTGAGGACAAACAGCCAGATGGACTACAGGGCAAAATCTATTTACCAATACGTCTTATTTCAACTATGGAAGAGTTTAAGATTTTAGTGCGCTCCTCTGTAAAAAAGTTGCAGAGTGTACAAATCTTTCAGGATTTCTGGGACAAACGTAACATAAACATGTAAACAATATGTTGGATGTCGATGAACAAATCCTAACAAAAATCAAATGAATCATTTTATTGTTGTGGACTTTATACATGTTATATGCATGAAGAGTAGAAAGGACAAAAATATCAATTTTTATCTATTGTTTATCATATGTATTTAATTATCATCTAAATATAATTCACATGCTTTGGAAATGTATTTTATTATTGGATGATAAATGAGATGGGAGTCCGAGAACATAACAAGGGATAAGCCTATAGCGCAACAAACATGAAGGTGAAAAAATTAAATCTCAATATGTTATGTCGCGACTACCAATGAGTACCTCGCAGTTATCTAACTTACCTCCGCTCTTTTGCGAGGGAGTCAAGAAAAGTCTAAATTTCTGGGGGCAAATGACATTGTTTACATTAGTGACAATCGAATGATTCGAACAATTTAATGCCAAAATCACGATGTTTTGCCAGATATTGAATTCCAAATAGTAGATTGTCAAATAAGGAAAGTTAAGAATATTTTATATACTGAAAAATGTGACGATTTTCAATGAAAATTTAACTATAAGAGTCCGCTTAATTAAACATATCTTTAAAAATGTGACAATTTAGGATTGGCTCCTCTCAAAAATGTATAAGGCTGGTTCAGCGATTGTCTAGCGAGGTATTCCACCAGGATTTTTTACTTATCTGTCCTTATAAATGCTACAATGATCGATCTTGCATTAATTGTATTGAATAGCACATTGCTCCCACCCAACAGATGATTCCTACCTCCTTCATGAAAGAGTTCAGCTAAGTTAAGTAATCGCGATATCAAGTATTGTATCAAAATTTTCCGAAATATTTCATCTAAAATTAAAGTATACTTTATGTAAATCTGTCAAATCTCTACAACTTATACATATCTCATGAAGATTGAAGTTTTTGGCCTGTAAAATATAATACACACGCGAAAAAGGGCAAATTGAGTCATTTTTTCACACTTTTAGTGTTGTAAAATTGGACAAATTTACTATTATCAAATTGAATCGGAAGAACACAATCACTTATATAATTATATAATTGATAATTTTAAATGTTATAAAAGGTTAGATTTATTCATCCTTAGAAGTATTTTAAAAAGACAATGCACCAGGATATGGATATAATAATTATAACCTCTTCACCATGCACGTTCTCATTTTGTTTACTGCTGATTAGAGTGATGTCCCTTTGGTGAATATAAAAGTTAAACCTGCTCGGCTTGAGAAATACGGCTTGAAAAATATAGTGATCTATCGATGATAATATTTACAATCGATTGTCGCCAATCTGGGCCTTTAAACGACGATTTTTCGATAGTCAGCGACTATCATAACAACACTACACACTTTTTAAAACAATGTTTTGAAATGTATGAGTGGGTCTTCACTCCACTTTTTTTTTCAAGTTTATCCTCAAAGTTTGCATACAAAATGAAATATACTATTTTGATTTCCAAAATTATGGAGTAAAAACCCAATAAACCTTTTAAAAAATTATAATTTTATGATATAACTTTTGTATCTTTTCAGAAAAATAAGTCCACTGAGTCAATGGTCATATCACAAACATGATTTAAATGCCAATCCTCATCAGGACTTGTGTAGCATAGTGGTTAGCTTGCTAGTCTCAGTAGAGAATGCTACTCAGGATTTTTATTGCTAGGGTTCAATCTAATGGATACATGTACCACATTTTTATATCTGTGATAGTCAGTTGGTGAAAAAACTGCAACAGAAATTGCGTACAGATCTAGAGACATATGGATATATATAAGTTGACATCGAATTTGCATAAAAATGAATCTCACTACCAGTATATAATATGCCTCGACAAAGAGTGTTAAAAAATTTCAAATTCTTGCTACCATAGTAGTTGCTGAAAAAAAAAAGGTAAAAATTTACACGCACAGATAAACAGGAAGTTGATGTGAAATTTCCTGTAAAAATAATGCCACCATTATCCCTACAATATTTAATGCCTATCAAAGATACACAGACATGCTAATTCCAATTTACTCCCCTTTGATTGAGAATGGGTTAAAATAATTGTAAATTGTATTGAAATTTTAATTGACTTGTAGGTAATACTTAATCATTGCTGACTTGTGGGGAATAAATTTCATGTTAACTTTGGACCCCTCCCTATTTTTGTCTTACTGTAATACTTTTTAAAATAAACAGTGACTTGTAGTCATAAAATATATATAAAATGACTAATTGTAATCATTTCTCACTGTTAATTGGCCAATACGAATTCATTATTAACCAAATTTTGATTTTTTATCACCAATCATTTTGTAAAATTTTCACTGTTATTGTAATACTTTTCATTGGTGACTTGTGGGGAATATTTATAACTGCTAACTTTTTTTTATTTCTCACGTACTTAACACATTGCTGACTTGTGGAATATTTCTCACAGTAATTTTAAATATTTATCACTGCTAACTTGTGGGGAACATTTCTCACTGTTCACTTGTGAGGAATACACATGTATTGACCATGTTTACCCTTAAAACTTTGTTTCCATATAAATGTTGCCTTTGAACCCAACCAATAAATGTACACTTCAGTGTATATTGCTGACTTGTGGGAAACATTTATCACTTATTGGGAAATGCATTATTTTATTATACATGAACATTACAGATAAAAATTATTTTTCAACAAATAAAATAACTATCAAATCTAAAAAAAAATCAATCATCAATATTAATAATTGTATTGAAACTACATGTATTACTAATCTAATGTTTACAAGTCTTTTAAATCAAAGCACATTAATTTTAAAAACATTTGTTTTCCTTCACTAGATTTAAAACAAATTGCAAATTTTAATTTTCTCAGGTAAAAAAAATGTTTTCAATTCAAAAATAATAAGTATGTTGAAAAGGATAAAAAGTCATAAAATCAGGAGACAGTATATATAAGTACTAATTTAATCATTGATGGATTTAATTGGCCAATGACTAATTATTATTAACCAAATTTTGATTATTTTTTGTAAAATTTTCTGATTATTGTTACACAGTTAGCATGGTATACACATGTATATTTTCTGACAACTTCTCAGCATGTTCATGAGGCTTTTAACCTACTTTGAAATCATGAACAAGGACTAATTTTTTTTTTTATTTTAGATATACCGGTTTATATACTTCTATGTACATGTATTAGGCTTCATAACATACATGATATCAGCATGCTTTTTTTTATTATTTCTGTTTTTAGAGCAACGGAAGTACTGTAAACCAACTTTTATTTGAGTGCAAGAAATATTTGCCAGTTTCATGACCTACATTTACTAGTGAATAGTAAATTATTAATTGCCCTGAACTATTAATTTTGCTTTATATTTGTAGAGAATGTTTCCTTTCATTAGTCACGGAAATTAATCAACACAGATTAGATATGCAAATAAAAGATGACACAAATAGGGTACATGTGTACTACCTGGTAGTTGGTTTACAGTACTGCTCACATATAGAGTTCAAAATGAGATTTTACAGCTATCTTGACTTACCAATACTAAATCCTTCTGTTTCCATACACAAATCCAGACAAAATGCTTTCAGTTATAATACTCTAGTTCTTTACATCCTTCATGTCCATGCAAGCGTGTCTGTTGACTTTGACTCCAAGTCTCAGTCTCTAACATTTTCAAGAATAAAGTTGTATAATTTGCTCTTGTGGTGAAAACCCCAAAACCTGCAATGATAATTTTGCTTTCAGTTTAAAGATTTCATTGTATATTTTTTTTAAAGTGTTCATATTTTTACCTATAATTACAAGACAGGTATATCTCCACATCACTCAATAGTAATTTTTGACCCCATGCGGCATGCCAAAATTAAGACTTAATGTATGCCCTTTCCTGAACCATATTGTTAACAGTTGGTAGGTAGGTATGAAAAATATTTTATTTTTTTCCTTCTTGTGACATGGCCCAGAGAGCTTTCCCTTTTAAATCAACCGTACAATAACTGCGAAACAGAACACTTTCTCGTGGATGTTTGATGAGCAGAAACTGTTTTATATGCAAAAAATCAACGATACAGTACAACTTATTTTTAGGAATGACAGAAAACTGAATCAATACCTTAAATGATAGTCATTGAAATTGCATGATAGTGCTGTTAGTATTTATTTAAATTTAATTAAAATGAGAATAGAAATTTACAGCGTAAAGTTACCAGAGGCAGATTAAAAATTTTTAGAAAGGAGGAGTGGGTGCAGAAATCAAATGGTTTTCTTAAAAAAAAAAATAAAAGACCAAAATCAGGAAGCATTATCAGACCCAAAACTTTGAGCGCGATCGTTATATGTAAATAAATTTAAAAAGGTATAAATTCAGTTAAGCAAATATAAATAATTATGAATAATAGATATTGAATCTTAAAATCTCAACATCACCTTTCAATTTATAACCAATTTTAAATTTTTAATATGCTAGCTATCATAAAAGCTGATGTAATTGTTAAATTTATTATTATATTACTATGTTTCTCCATTTCCTTCAAATTGCATTATTTTGTATACCAGGTGATCTTTAATTAACAATAAGTATTTAATTAAAATGAATTTATTAGACATTTTAATTGGGCCTAAATAAATAAGTAGTGTGTTTTCAGCATGTTTAGTTCCCCGCCTAACTCTAAAAAGTATAGGAGCCGACCCTCAATATTTTTTCTGCTAATATCTTTCCATGAGTAAACTACTGTATGTATACTTTAAAATGCAGGCTTCATATTTTAGCGGCTTTGGTGCAGACAACAATGCACTAATTCATGAATACTGCTAAAAAATCATTTACATATTGATATATACAATACACCGCACATACATGTGTAGCGCTAATTTATGATTATGCCAACCTAGTGATTATGCAAAATTTTGAAAGCACCAAATTATATACACATATTACAGTATTTGCAATTCCAGTTTACAATTAGAAATGAAATCCCAATCTTGATCACTTCCATGTTTGAGAAATGCATATCTTACACATATTAATCAGAAATATTTTGACAGTGAAATCCTGGGGGAAAGTGGCAGCGTGCCTGCCAATAAAATGTTAAAATAAAATAAAAATGTTTTTCCTACCTACCTACCCTATCTTTTCTAAGGTTAAAATAGGAAACACTATCTATTTGTCTTGGCCTTAGCAAAATAAAAAAAAAATACTTATGATACATCGATAATGATGGTCTAAAATCATGAAAATATTTTCAGTAGGGCAATCAGGATGAATGTAGAACAGGGTGCAGGTGAAAGATAATGAAGGCAAATGGACACTATGCAAACCAACGCATGCGACGAAATATATACAAGTAGGAAGAATGACTTGATAAAAAAAACGATAACTAAATCAAGCTTTTTTTTGGAAGAATTAAACATGTTAAATAATCTAACCAAGCTAAGAAATTTTAGCTACCTAAATCTATAAATGTACTGATTTCAATGTTCTCTGTGATACATTTCTGACACTGAGTCAGTGTGTGACTTACATCGTTTATAAATACACGTACATTTTAAGTCAGATTAACTTTTACAATTAATTCGCCCACACAGGCCTCACTAAACAGCTAAAGACCAGACAGTCGCACCGTCTAGCATAATTTGTATGAGCACGAGGAGGATAGTCGCCTTTCACAAAAAATGGGGACAAGCCTTAAACGCTTACCATATCCCGGGGGTGCTGAATTCATATAAATCCGTAGTTTGTTCTTACAGGATAGCCATTAGGCCTATAAACATGATACAATTATACAAAAAAAATAACCGAGGTCTAGGTGGGTCAAACTTTCCCAAAGTTTTACGTGCATTCATTATTAAATGTTACTTTACGAACGTCTGTAAGAAATAACTGCATGCATGATTTACGTAGTTAAATTAAGTTTTCAGCCTATAATATCTTTAAAATATGATAAAAAATCTACTTACCACATATTCTAGGAGCAGCCATTGCCTGCAATAAATTGGTATCATATGGGGACCAGTTTAAATTCCGCTGCGTTCCGAATGAACATTTCCCAGCATCCTCAAACATTCGTTTTACGGTGCAGTGAGAAAATTACTGTGAGTCAATTTTACGGACTTATAGGGATTTTTTCAAAAATGACCACAAATCGAATAAATATTATCAGTAGAACACGTAGAATTCAAAAAACCCCATGACCATATTTGTGGGGAACAGAGAGTTCCCACAATTTGTGAACTTTCCCCATAAGAAAGGTCCTTTGTCAGGTGTGAATTCCCCACAAGTCGGTGAGCGCGAGTGCTCTCTCTCTCTCTCTCTCTCTCTCTCTCTCTCTCTCTCTTTCTCTCTCTCTCAGTAATATCATTTATCAACAACTAACCTAAGGTCCCGGTAGCTGGTCCGCCAAGAAAAAGTTTGTATTTGTCCGATTCATCACTAATAGCAAACTATTGGTAGAGTTCATACAGAGTTGTACCATTTCTTAATGTGATGGAGACGTATAGTGATGAGTTCCTTCCCTTTGTCAACTGCTGAATAATGTCGTTTCCTACAATACGCAATATGTAACGTTAGAAATAAATTAAAATTTCAGTATAACATACGTAATTTTAAATAAAAAAATGAGGATTTCAAGAATGTTAGACTTTAATAAAAATTTGTAGTTGCCCCATACCCTAAACCAATGTTATTTTTAACTGTACGGTTTAAAAAAGTTAGCATCAGATTTGTGTTATTTTTACAGCACCAGTAGTGATAGTGTTATCAAACTGGATTTGAAAAAAATGTATTTTTATGGCACATACCCTGAATTTGTCATGCTATTGTAGAATGAGTGATTAACATAAGTACTAACCAATCCAGTAGGAGTCGTTAGGACTCCCGAACCCAGTCTTGTACTCCGCCCACGTTCTGTTGAATCTCAATGATCCGCCCACACGTCTCTGAATTGCCTTTGGGTTGAAAAAAGAAATAAATGCTTCATTTACGGTATTGTTTATTTCTTAATATATATGTATTTTATCTACTGATTAGCCCGCATGTTACATGTACAA